ATAAGGCTACTATTAAGAGCGCCGCTTAGCCTACTACTAAGTACTAAATAGATAGAAGATATAGGTTTATTGTCTAGTTTAACTGCTTGTGTTTGTTTGATTGCTCTATTATAATAGCCTAAAAGTAGTCTAGTTGTTTCTATACCTAATACCCCTTTGTTTGCTTTACTAGTTTGTTTGTTTAGCTATATATACGCGATAAGGGGGTGACTTAAAGTGTGTAGTGTGTGTAGTATTACGTGCATAATGCCTAAGGCTGAAACTACGCACTTCATCTTTCGGGCTTCCTATAGATTAGCCCTCTTCTAAATACATTACAGTTTATATTAAGTTCCTTATTAAAACAAAGAATCTTACGGCCTAATTACTAAAATTTAGCAAATTCCTAGTGCGCTATTCTATCGTTCTGCTATTACGATCTGTATAGCATGTTTAGACCTATGCGACTTGTACAGTATATAGCGTCCCGGATCCTAGACCTACGCTCTCAACTCCTATTATAAGACTTTAATAGGCAGAAGTAGGGTACCTCGAGAGTACGATAGCCCGTCGAGAATTAGCACTGTTTAACAACTTAGGACAACATGCTCTATATTATCTAAGTCGCTATGCTGTTCGCGAGCTTAACCTATAGCTAAGCTATAAAAGTAACCGTTTATTAACCTGCGGAGATTATAACATCGTACTAGATCTCGTTTACGATAACAGATCCGAACCCGAAGGGTCCGCTAAAGCTACCTCTATTTAGGCGCCCCGCTTTGTAGGCTTGCATAGACCTTCTACCTAAATTTAGCACCTTCTACCTTCTACTCTGTCTCTACGTCCTTATATTATCTGTACTAATATATATCTAGTTAGCGGTCTATGCTAAGCCTATAGCGAAGCGCCTAAAAGAAAACCGTGCGGCTCCTATATAACCGTCCGGTATACAAACGAGAATTCGAATTTATAGAAGCACAACTATATATTAGATAGACAAACCTAAAAAAGCTGTTCTGCGCAATAATACGATCTTTTAAAATAGCTATACAAAGTATACGTTAAAATGTCAAATTAAAGCTATAGATACGATCTTCTAAGACAGGTCTTCCGGTGACTGCGTTTGTTCTATAGTACCCTCCTTTATATTACTTATATATAAACGGTATATAAAACGCTAAGTAAATTACAAGCGGACCCTTAGATTAACCGCCGCTCGTACCTCCGACTCTTAGAATACCTATATTCTTGACCCTTTGCCTTTATCTTGCTACCGAGGGCTACAGCTAGCCGCCTAGCAATCTAGATAGCTGCAGTCGAGTCGGCTTAGTAGAATAGCGAAAACTTAACGCGCTAACGTCGTATAGACTTGTTTGATAGGTAGAATGAAGCGCAATTAGTAGGGCTACAACCTCCGCTATTTAGAATGTCTTGTATACGTTGTAGTGTTATATTGGTGTTTGGCAGGCTGGTTTCGTACGGGTTTATGTCAGGCTCGTAGGCGAAGAATTGGGTGGCTTCCGAACTTACCGACAATCTATCACGTGCACTCGGTCGCAATATAATCCCCATTCACCTTTACGCAACTCAATTCTTCATGCCTACGAGCCTGAATGGAGGTAGCGCTAAAGCAGCTTTCTGGCCAAGCTATGCCAGCGGTGGAAATGTAGTACTCCTGTTGGTGATCTTGTCAGCTTCAGCATATTGATAGCGAATGAGTCGGCAATTGATATCGAATTTTATTCTCGAAAAATCGTTTCAGAAGATACCCAGATTTTGACATGCCAATACATTTCAGGTGAGAGTGCTGATATCTTTCATCACGTCGTTGACTCCCGCAGATCGACCACGAATTCTTTCTGCCCTTCTATACGAACTGGTATTGGGGGTAGATTGAAAGGCCCTTCAAGATTCCCAGTGGTCCCGAATGTCCAGCGCTTGAAGTGCAAGTCGTCATTCACGTGAATATGGTGTGTCTGACCTAGTCCAAGTAGGCCCTCCGCACGCCGGGTATGCCACCACTTGTGCAGGCCCAACAAGAGCAAGCTGTCCGTCATGTCCACCTCCTGCCCAGGCATAAAAGTTTCGAGCCGATCAAGTCCGCGGTAGACATAAGAGCCAATCTCATCGATAGAACTCGCAAAGGCCGGATCTGTCGACCAGGTCTGTGCTCTTTGTTCTCTGCTAAGCCACTCGTCCGCCACAATGCCTGTGAGAGCAGCCTTCGGATCGTCAAGAATGAGAGCCTCCTCGAAGAAATCATGGCAAATCTTGTGAATGGTCACCGGCCGATGGCCGACCAATGCCAGTGTCATTCTGACGTGTGGTGGGGGTGCCACGTAGTCGACGGTCTCGTCGTACGTCCTGGAATATGATATACTGAATGTCATCTTGAAGTAGTGTCCCTCCATAGCAGACAGCTCAGCGCGTGGTGCACATATGCTCCACATCGTGTGAAGCTCGTCCGTGACAAGGGGCCAGTGTTGCAAATGATTGACTGCGAATCGCCACACCTCCAGATCTTGACAATCGTAACGGTTCAGGGCCACGGGATTGCTGTACACCATATGCGGCCCTCTCTTAACGGCTTCTGCGTCTAGGTACATGAAGACATCCCTAAAGCGCCTCTCCGGCAAGCTCGCATAATCTGTCACGCATGGAGGCACCAGGATATTGTGTATATGGACCAAAAGTTCTTCTGGAAGCGGCAACGCAATCTTGTTCAAGATCAGCTGAACAGCTTTTGCTCTTGCACGAGAACGTGCTGGGCTCCTTTGACGTGCTTCGGCGGTGTAGTGGCGGTATGCAGATCCGATATCAGGTAGATCGTATATGATGTCCAGAGCCCAAGGCACGTTACGTAACCTGCCCCGATTCAAGCAGGAGAAATAACCTTGCGGAACAAAAGACATGCCGCGTGCACTGAGGTAGAGGGTGAAGGCGAAAGTGGGTCGTGCTTTACTGTTACGAGTGTCCCAAACGCTTGTCACGAGCCATCCGGTCGTGTCTTCATACTGGGCTCGCTTGTAATATGGAAATTCGCTCGCTTCCTTCCATAGATCACACGTATCAAATTCAAGGGGATGGACCTCGTCGTCTTGATCCACCTCCATCTCCGAGAGGTTGTCTTCCAATGAATGTTGGCCATTGACCGAAGCGTCACCTTGGTCGTCGTTATCTGAGTCCGCCGCGTCTTCGTGTGCAACAGGGTCTTGGGCGGGATATGATGCTGGAGATTGAGCACCTTGATTGCGGCGTGTAAGACCAGTCTGCATCCAATGTCCGCCAGCCAGGCGCCACGCCTCGATCATCTCCTGTTGCACATGCTGTTTCGTTCTCAAGGGTTTAGCCGCGATGACATTTTCCAGTCCATATGGTATGCCTCCCCGGAATTTCTGAGGGTCAAATTGGCTTCTGTCGAAGACTAAGGCTGTGATACCTTCCATTTGCCAGTTATCTCGGTCGACCACCAACGCGAACCCTCCATACTCGTGGGTCTGGGCAGGGTATTCAGGGTCATATTCATCGGAGTATCTGTCCGCTGCATAGGAAGAGATTAGGTGTGGCCAGATACTACTTCGGTTGCGATGGGCGATCTCTCGTCGCTGGTGGGCAACACATGCCAAATAGTCATTGAAGCTTCTAGTGTAGACCTCGTAGTGAGCTTCAACGCCTTCAGCATCTGCGGCCCGTCCAAGCATCATCTCGATCCACTCTACAAGTTGTGAGGCGAATTCCTTGTTTTGCACTTCCGCAACAGTTTCTTTTGCCGCATTGAGCACATAGATTTGCCATGGACATGGAGGTAAGCCTTCGTCATCAGCATCCTGGTATTCTTTCTTCAGCCATGCTATATGGACTTCATCGTCGTTATGATCCTTGATCTGGACTACCTTAGTCCTCTGCGGAACAACTCGGGCTGCTGATAGCCTTTGGCTCGAACGCTCTGCTGAGTTTGAGCCTTGCCACATTGCTGAGGGAGGTCGCTACTTGGGAGACGAAGCCGCCGGTATCTGTGAGAATCAATTACCGCACTACCACAGCATGAATCTAATGATGAGCAGAGGTCGTCAAGAAGAGGTCACGGTGTCATTCTGTGGCACAGGGGAAGGTTCAAAGCTTAGTGCACCGCCACGCCGCCATGTCAAATCTCTATTCACTTCTTCGCTGCTCACAGGCCGCCCACAGATACGACGTCCAACTTGCAGCATGGCTCCAGAAGCAAAAATGACTCTCAGCACCATGACTTCCTTCAGTCCAACTCCCGAGGCTCTGAAACTTTGCTGCACACGCAGACAGCCAGCATGAAGGACGAAGACAGCGCAGTGAACAACCCTGTCGCTTCGCTGAGAACGATCCGCCATCACGAGCCTCATTCCTAGGCATTCTCGTCGAGCTCAGACTACGAATCTATGAACTTGCTTGGTCGGACCGCTAGCTCTGAAAAGAGTCAGCGGTGCTATCGCTCGTGAGGTCAAGACAGTCCTACCCTCGATCCGCCATATCCACTTCAGCCTCAAGGCCTTCAATTCTGACGACCTAATCGGCTGGCTTCGTTACGGGGGCAATGAGCAAGTCGCTCGATTGCATAAATTGAGCATAGGCTGCAGAGAGATGAGAGGACTCGGCCATGACGGAAACTACAATACCACCGCCGCAGTGATCGAGTTTGCCGTGAGCACTGCCGCTCCTTTCAGCGGACTCTGCGCGAGGCCAAGAAGAGCTAGAGCTACGAACTATGTCAGAGATCGATCACAATAGACCTACACAAGTTCGATATCAAGAACGGTTCCAAACTCAAAACGAAGAGTTTCAGACTCATGCCAGAATCACTCCTTCACATCATACCTGCTCGGACCCTCCGGCGGAACACGATCGTCTCTGATCAACGGAATCCCTTCCCTCTCCACCGCAACCTTCACAGCCTCCCTCTCAACAACCTTATTCACGACCTTCGTCCATTGCGGATACATCTCCTCCATTTCGATCTTCAACAGGTAACCCCATCTATACACAACCCACAAGAACACGTCCGCAGCGGTGAAAACATCCTTCACGGCATGTTCCCCACCGACCCCTTGCAGCCTTTCCTCAATCAAACCAAAGCAAACCTCAACCCACTCCCGCGACTTCTTACGAATACCATCATGAGCGGACTGATCATCCGAGTACCACTCCGGACTAAACAGCGCCCCTAATCCACGCTCATGCACCGTCCCACTCAGCCAATTCAGCCACTCATACGTACGCGCAACGTCCCAGTCCGTCTTCCCGAATAAGTGCTTCTCAGGAGCCAAGCGTGAGGTCAAAGTCATGATCGCCGTGGTTTCCGTAAGAACTTGGCCATCGAATTCCAGAATCGGAATTCGCTTCTTGGGGTTTATGGCACGGTATTTCTCTGGGAATCCGCCCTTTGTGATGTCGATTACTAGGATTTCGAAGGCGAGGCCGGAGGCTTGGAGGAGGACGTGAGGGGCTAGAGAGCAGGCGCCGGGGGAGAGCCAGAGGCGGAGTTTGGACATGGTGTGTTTTTTTTTCCTTTCCTTCTTCTTCTTTGAGGATTTCTGTTGTTGTTGTTGTTGTGAGATATCTTGAGTGAGTTGTTTTGGGGGTTGCGATTCAAATGGGAGGAGAGGAATGGTAAGGCTTGCTTTGCGGGATCTTGTAATACTTGTGGTCTGTCGTCATTGCCCAACTAGGGCTTATGTGGCTCGAAGAGCCACACGAGAAGCCTAAGGCGACGAGTAGCTAAAGTCTTATCTAGACGCCTATAGTAGGCCTAATCTAAAACGCGTATAGTAAGTTATATCTAAAACGCTAATACTAAAAAGTAATATTAATCCGGAACGCATTATAGATATTAGAAAGCACTATTTAGAAACGCTTATAGCGAGCACTATTAGGAACGCTTATAGCAAGATAGTCTTAAATATCTATAGTAACTACTTCCGGAATATGCCTATAGTAATTACTATCCGGAATACCTATAGCGAGTACTATTCGAAATATCTATAGTAAGTAGTTCTTTCTAAGTTAGAACGCTTATAGTAAGTACTACCTATAAGGCGGATACTAAGTCTAATCTAAAACGCCTATAGTAATTTTAATCTAAAACACTTATAGGGATTCTTATTTAGAACGCTTATAATACTAAGTACTATTCGGAACGCGTATAGTAAGTCTAATCCGGAGCGCTAATAGTTAGTCCTACTATCTACTATAACGCCTATACTAAGTTCTACGTTAAACGCGCTATATAGCAATTCTAATCCGAAACGCTTATACTAAGTCCTATCTATAACGCGTAGCTACTAGCTAAGAGCAAGTACTATCCGGAACGCGTATAGTAAGTCTTATTCGGAACGCTAATAGTAAGTACTATTAAAAACGCTTATAGTAAGTAGTTGTTAGGGCCAAAGAGGCTATACGTGATTAGCATGTAACTAGGCCGAGTGAAGCTAGGGTCTCGATGCCTTAGGCAGGGCTTGGCGCTTAGCGTTAGGCTAACTCTCCTGCCTTCCTCCCTCTCCTCCTAGATCCTTATCGAATACTAAACTAATTCACTACTACCCTATCTACCTGCTAATATAACCCTTCTTATATAGTATTCGATCTACCCTTTAAGGGCAGCAGCTAGATAGTCCTTATTTCAAGCTTTTAGCGGTATAGCTACGAAAACTATCGATTTAACTATATTACGCCCGAAGAACGGGACCTACACGTACTATTCTATCGAAACAACCGTACTAATTATTAAGTAAGGCCTTCTATACGGCCTATTACACTAAGTTAATTATACTAGGCCGATATCCACTAATTCCGCTATATCCGTATCTTAGGGGCTAACAATACATTATTAGTGCCGCCCCTTATAATGGCCGGTTTATTACGAAACAACAATCGCGGTGCCGCTAGCAGCGCTAGCAATAACAACACTAGTAGCACAGCACCTACTAAAGTGCCTACTAAAGCACCTACTAAAGTGCCTCCTACTAAAGAGCCTACCGGAGAGCCTACTAAAGAACCTATAATTCTAGGTAACGACCTAGAATTGTCTGTCGACGACATTCTTAACAATATTGTTAACCGTCGATATAGCTAACTAGCCTTTAGTCCCTAACTAGTAGCGAGACTTTAAGGAGCTACTTAAAACAGGCTTACTGCCTTACGCTAAGAACAATAGCTAAAGGATAATCTCCTCGAAATTCGTCGCCTATAAGAAGCCCTAGCAACTAATACTAAACCAATAGTAGGGCCTTCCTCTCTATCTGTTTTAGTCTAAAAGAAGGATGCTAAACTTAAGGACTATACCGTATTTAATAGCTCTAGTCGGAAACAATATAACGACTACATCCGTAACTACGAGCTTAATTAGCGAAACGCGCTAAGGGCCCTTCTAGACGACTACTCGTTAGTCGTCTATGCTATGCAATATATTAATAGAGACCTAAAGCGTACCTAGGATAACTATTTCGACTCCCTTACTAACTAGACCGCTGTTTAGTAGCAAGACTATAAGACTATTATACTAGACACCCTTAGGAACCCTATACTAAGGCAACAACACGCTTAGGACCAATACCTTCGAGCTAAACAAAAGACTAATTAATCGGCTCGCTCGTTTGAGGCCTATTTAAAGACCCTTAAGGACGATTTGCTAGCTAAGACCGACTCTATCTAGATTTCCGAAATACGCCCTAAATTGCGATAGGAACTAGTCCTCGAATTAGACCGCCGCCGTGTATTCGAATAGGCCAACCTAATACGCATTTAATTTATAGTCGAAGTAGAAACAGCCGAACGAGCTATTTAGCTCTAGCAACGACTAGAATTAAGGATCCGACCTACTAGCAACCGTAGCAACCGTAGCCGCGGAGGAAACTAAGGTTCCTACTAGGACAACAATGCTAACAATAGGAACAGTAACGATCGTAGAAGAAGCCGTAGCCGACGGCTATATAGAGGAGGCCGTAATAGGGGCCGTAGAAGGGGCTCGTATCCCTATAGTACTAATCGCTCGGCTAACAACAGCGGCAATAGCTATAGCAATCCTCTAACCGGACTAAAGTGCTTTAATTGTAACAGTACTAGCTATCTACTAGGCTAATGCGACAAACCTAAGGACTAGGCCCGAATCGACTGTGCTACCGCTAAGTACCGAAAGCACCTTTTAGTAGCTAACGCTACCTCTATAGGCTAACCTTCGAAAAAAGAGTAAGCGCCGCACTAACTGTTAGCCTCGTACGGCGTAAGACTATCGACATTGTGCTAGCTATTATACGTACCTGTCTTATCTCTAGGCCCGATACTAACTATAAGGTAAAGGTTATGCTAGACCCTAGAAATTCAGTTAGCGCCCTTATTAGCTATTACCTAGCTAAGCAATTAGACCTTCGACAACTGCCGAAGACTAACCTACTAACCCTTGCTTAGTTTAATAACGCTCGGCACTTGACCTATAGAGCCTACTATGTTCCTATAGTTCTAAAAGACGACCTCGGAAATAAACGCCTACTAAACTTCACTGCCTACGCGGTAGATATAGACAGCCTCCTATCCGATATTGTTATTAGTAACCCTATTCTTAAGTACTATGCTATAGTTATGGACCTAGGCAGCTAACAGTAGCGATTTAGAATCGCTAGGAAAGAGGACATTAAACACATTAATGTTAGCGAGTGCCCTGACGATATTAGGGTCCTATTTATTAGCAACCTAACCCTAGCTAACCTAATAGTCGACTTATTAGGCGATAACGATAAGCCTATAGCCCCTAATAGCATAGACCCTAATTAGCTTGCTCGTATACCGGAGCCTATTCGAGAAACCTACATTAATATATTTAAACACTACTTAGTATCGATATTGCCTATATTTAAAGAGACGGATTATAAGATTGATATTATAGAGGGCAAGGAGGTCCCTTTTAGCCCCCTCTATAACCTTAGTAAACGAGAGCTTGCTATATTGCGTAAGTACCTAAAGGAAAACCTAGCTAATAGTCGCATTCGGTATAGTAACAGCCCTGCTAGCGCCCCTATCCTATTCGTACTAAAGAAGGATAGTAGCCTACGCCTATATGTTAATTATCGTAGGCTTAACGCTGTTACTATTAAAGACCGCTATCTACTTCCTCTTATTAATAAGACCCTCGATCGCCTTTCTAGTGCTTACTACTACACTATATTAGACATTAAGGATACATACTATCGCATCCGCATCCGTAAGGGTAATAAATAGAAAACAGCCTTCCGTACCCGCTATAGCTATTTCGAGTACTTAGTTATGCTATTCGGCTTAGCTAACGCCCCTGCAACATTCTAGTCTTATATTAATCGAGCCCTTTCGGGCCTATTAGACTATCTCTGTATGGTTTACCTAGATAACATCCTAGTTTATATACACTTACCTAACATTACGGAGCACTAGGCTATAGTCCGCAAGGTACTCGATCGCCTGCGAGCCTATAGACTGTATTATAAGCCTTCTAAATGTACCTTTACTGCTAAGGAGGTGTCCTTCCTTAGCTTCCTCGTATTAACTGAGGGTATTAAGGCTAATCCTAACCGGATTAAGACTATTACTAAGTAGCTAACGCCTACTAGTATTAAGGAGCTTCAATTATTCCTAGGTTTTGCTAACTTCTATCGTCGCTTTATTAAGGGCTATTTACGATACGTAATGCCCCTAACTGAGCTTACTAAAACTAAGGCCAACCTAACTAGAGAGTTTAAATAGACTAATAGAGCACAAGCCGCTTTTAACGGTTTGAAGAAGCGCTTTACTAAAGTCCCCTTGTTGTACTATTTCGTACTAAGTAAACAGATCCGTATTAAGACTAACGCTTCCTAGTTCGCTATATCCGCTATTATGTTACAACAGGCTAATAACAATTACTAGCACCTAATCGCCTTCTTCTTACGGAAGATGATCGATATAGAACGTCGCTACGAGACCTACGAGTAAGAGCTCCTAGCTATTGTCGAGGCCTTTAAGTACTAGAGGCACTACCTCGATAGGGCTTAATATACAATATAGGTCTATACAGACTATAACAACCTCCGTAGGATTACGAAGGTTACTAGGGTTATAGGTCGACAGGCTAGATAGGCCGTCTACCTCGCTAGGTTTGATTTTAATGTATTATATCGGCTAGGCGTAAGCAACCCTACCGATAGCCTATCGAGGCGACCTAATTACGACGGCGAAACCTAATACATTAATTCTTTGTTTCTAACCCTGCAGTATAAGATTGCTATAGCCCGTATTGTCAATAAGTAAGCGTAGGATAAGCGGCTTACCGGACTCCGCGACGGCTCGAAGTATGTTAATGCTCTTACTATATTAATAGTACGTATTAAGGCAAGAGCTAAGTATATAGACAGGAGAAGTTATAATAACTCCCTAGTCGATATCGCTATATATAGTGACAGCGATTAAAGCACTAATGCAGTTAATCCGGCTGCTAGTGCTATTAGATGCATATAATACGTACCTCGTTTAATAGCGAGGGTGCTATTAAATAACCTTATAAATAGGGATAGTCAATCGTTTATAGATAAGCTATTACGGGCTTAGTAGAGGGACGCCTTTGCTACTAAACGTATCGACAAGCTTGTAAGTAGGCGAAAGACTCGATCTAGTAAGAGTAACTAGTCGATCGATGACAAAGGTTATTTAAAGTTTAAGGGCAGATACTATATCCCCGCTAAACATTCGATCCGATAAGAACTTCTTAAGCGACACTATAATAGTAAGCTTGCCGGTTACTATAGCATAGAGAGGTCGCACGAGCTACTATCGCGCATATACTACTAGCTAAATAGTAAGCGGGATATAAAGGAATACGTTAACACGTATACCGTATACTAACGTGTTAAGGCACTAAAGCATCAGCCTTTTAGCGAGTTGTCCTCCTTACCAATCCCTTATAAGCCATTTGCAGAGCTTATAATAGACTTTATTATAGGCCTTCCGCCTACTAAACGTAGGGGCAGTAAGGACGTGTATAATGCTATCCTTATTATAGTAGATCGATTTACTAAAGGCGCTCGATATATCCCGGCGCGCAAGGATTAGACTGCTATTAATATAGTAGAGGCGCTATAGACTAACATCTTCTATACCTATTAGGGAACCCCTAAGGGGATAGTCTCCGATAGGGGCTCGACATTTATATCGCACTATTAGAGCGAAATATGCCTATAGCTAAGACTGAAGCATCGGCTGTTAACAGCCTTCTATCTATAGACTAACGGTCAAATAGAGAGGCAGAATGCTACCCTATAGCAGTACCTACGCAGCTATATTAATAAGAACCCCGAGGATTAGGTTAACCTCCTACAGCCTATAGAATTCGTATATAACAATAGTATACATTCATTAACTAAGATCTCGCCCTATATAGCTATAATAGGCTAGAATGCTGCTATGCTACAAGACCTACTATCGCTCGAGGCCGAGCGTAAGGAAAGGGAAGCGCGTTAAGTACCCGAAATACTAGCGGCTATTAAGAGGGTTTAGAAGATGCGAGAAATCTATACTAAGATAGCCGAGAAGTTAATAAAGGCTTAAGAGTACTAAAAGACCTACTACGACAAGCGTTATATACCGATGACCTTTAAGCAAGGCGACATAGTTATGCTTAGTACGAAGAACCTCCGCATCCGCAAATACCTATTACCTAATAGCAAAACAAGGCCTAAGCTCGCACTAAGATACATTAGCCTATTCCGTATCCGAGAACCGAAGGGTATACAGGCCTACTAGTTGTAGCTTCTACCCTATTACACTATCTATAACACCTTCTATATATCCCTCCTTAAGCTATACTATTAACGCGAAGGTAATAAAGCGCCTGCTAAGTTAGAAGAAGTCTTAGCTAATAGTAAAGAACTGTAGTCTGTAGAACGTATCCTATAGCACCGGACTAGGAAGGGCAAGAAGGAGTACCTACTAAGATAGCAAGGCTATTTACTAGAATAGGACTCATAGGAAGCTAAAGACTCCTTTAAGGATATAACCGAGTTGTTAGATAAGTATTAGACTAGCGTAAAGAACAAGAAGAAGGCTAAAAGCTTATAATGTTACTACTAAGGCCTAGGATTAATGCTACCCCTAGGGTGCTATTAGCTAACTAATTAGAAGCAAGCAATTATTAGCAATAAAGGACAATAAGACTACACTACTATAGTGAACGCGCACCGAGTGTTAATAAGCGCGCTACGACGCGTCAACCAATTGCCTACTCTTTTAAGGATTCTACCTCTTTACTAACGCGCCCTATAGGTCCCCCTCTTGTTCCCTTATTCCGTCGAGGCCTCGAGGCCTAGGCAATCGGCGTAGCCGGCGCGGCTATATTAGTAACAGTGTTGCGGGGTATGTTGCTATTTAAGAAAGGAAGGATACCGCTATATTAGTAACGGTATTGCCGAGTTGTTGTTAGTTAGAGAAGGTAAAGTTAGCGCTAAGACGACTAGCGCTACTATTGTTAACATTACTTGCTATTGTCGCTGCGCCTATAGACACAACCTTACCTATACTACGAGCCTAAGGCACCTTTAATTAAAACTTTGATTAAAGCTTTGAGCCTATTAAAGGTTTGATCAAACTTTGAGGCTAAGTCAAAACTTTGACTAAGTTAAAAGATTAAGCGACTAATAGACTAACTAAGGGCAAAACTATAGAGCTAAGCTAGCCGGGGTCGATCTTGCGGACAATAGGTTACTCCTCGATCTATCTAACCCTTTAAGCGAGGCGAACCTCTACTACTGCACTTATAATAGCCTTTATCTATAGAAACTAGACGAGCTGTGTTTTTTTGAAAAGATAAGATAAGATTAACACTTAAAGGCTGCCAAACCTAGCTAATTAGGGCTAGCGAAACTACGAACAATAAGAACAATAACCCTCGGAAGCGAATAAACCCTCGGAAGCGGACATTGCTAAGTCTTTTAAGAGTAGACGCAAAGAACTCGGTACGACATTACTTAGAGCGGAGGCAGGGCTACAATACCTCGTACGTCTACCTATTATAGTAGGGAAGACGCGCTCGTATTGTAATTAGTCGATAGCCCTTAATTCTTATAGCTTTATATCCCTTTACTTTATTATATATAAGGATAGCGCAGTTAGAGTTGTGCATTATATTGTTTAGAGGTGAGGTTTGATATAGTTATATAATTAGGTAGTTAAGTGTTCAATTTAGCGCGGCTAAGCAGCTTATTAGACTCGCTAAGTTAGCGGCAATAGAGGTCGGGATTGGAATATAGGTAGGCTACGAGGGCGCGGCCTTTAGAAGGGAAGCGTATATTAGGGCCAAAGAGGCTACACGTGATTGGCATATAACTAGGCCGAGTGAAGCTAGGGTCTCGATGCCTTAGGCAGGGCTTGGCGCTTAGCGTTAGGCTAACTCTCCTGCCTTCCTCCCTCTCCTCCTAGATCCTTATCGAATACTAAACTGATTCACTACTACCCTATCTACCTACTAATATAACCCTTCTTATAGTAGTGCTATCTAAAACACTATTTAGAATACCTATAGCAAGTTATATCCGAAACGCTTATAGAAAGTCTTATCCTAGATCCGGAAGGCCTATAGCGAGTACTACTAGTACTATCCGGAACGCTTATAGCAAATACTATCTAAAACGCCTAGAGTTAAATAGTATTCGAACTACTTATAGCGAGTACCTTATTATAGCGCCTACTATAAGTACCCTATAAAGCATATATAGCGATTACTCTATAGAATATCTATAGGGTTTTAAGTATACCGCTTTAAGAAAATACTACTAGATTAGACGTAAACGACGGAGATAGTATTAGAAATACTACTATTCAAGTTATGGCGGTAAAGTATTACGATATATACTACGACTCTTACGCTTTTTAAACTACTTATAAACTAAGAAATTTTAAAGTCCCTCGGCTATAACTAATTAGAGTCGGCTTTTAGCTCGTTTTAAGCCGCACTAAGCCTAAAGGGGCCCTATTTTTTATTAAGTTATTATATTTTAGACGTAGTACTAACTCCTAGCGGCGTACTACTTTCTCTTTAATTATAGTACCTAAGGCTAGTAGTCGATAATTGCTTCTTTTAGCAAATAGTCGAAGAGCCTTATTACTCTTATTAAAGCTATCTATACACTATTAAAGGTCATAGTTTGTTTATATTTAGTGCATTAATCGGCGCCGAAAAAAGTTGTTGCCTTAGGGACGACCATCCAATCGAGCACGCCGAGTTCTGCACATGTGGGATTTCGATATTTGTGTCATTAATTTGGTGTTTCCATATGTGAATCGACTTGACTGCAACGAGGGACGGAGTGGACGGCAGGATCATCTACCTGGATGGGACTTCTTCGTCTTTGTAACCTACCACAGCGTTTCACGATATCTAGTGTAACGACAATATTCGCGCTTTCTTGGCTTTCATGTTCAATGGTATTCCAAAGTTCGCCATGACAAGTGCGACGCAATGGCAGACAATCAGGACGTCCAATTGGACAAGATCGGACGGGAGCCTTCATTCAACAGTCAAAATGTATGGTCCCGATGGCATGTCAAGAGGGTGACTGCACTCTGACTCCAACATTGCTCTCACATCTTGTATCCTGAGCACCCGCCGAAGCCTGTCCACCTGAACCGCGGGACGGTATCGCTCGTAAATCTGCGTTACGCTGCATCACGGTACTGCTTTGAGGCTCTCCAGATTGAGCAGTTTGCGAAGTTCGCAGATTAGTCTGAGATGACAATACCGGCGTCGAAGCTGATATATTCAGTGGCCGCGCTTGGGGTGCTGCAGCGGACGACGCTGCCAACGTTGAGCTTGCGAAATTGCCTTGTTCCCGTCGGGGACGACTTCCAAGAAAACCATTCGGAGTGGACGAAGTATCGATGACAACATGCGTATTACCGGGACGTAAATCATTCATCGGTTGAATGGACTCTTGGGAAGCTGTTGGAGGTTCCTGCTTGGCTTTGACTGGCTTTTCGCGAAATCGCAGAACCACCAAGATCCTGAGTCCTGCTCGTTTGAACATCGACTTATCAGCATCTTCAGGCCGGTCGTCCACATTGGCCGCGGCGACTGCGAAAAGAGCAAGGACTGTCAAGGCGACGCCGATTATGAAGAAGAGCCAGATGACTCGTGTCTTTTGGCCGAAGTCATTGTTGATACTCAGGAAGCCGGATGTGAATTGCAGGGGAATGAATATCGTCGCAAGAGTGGTTATGCGGGCAAGATGTTTGTCCTCTTTGGCTGCAAGGTTGGCGCGTTCGTCTGCAAGTCTAGCACGTTTTCCTTCTTCGATAGAGCGCTTCCCGTCCTGAATGCTAAGCGACTCTGCCAATAGATTCTGGACACGTTCCATGCGCATGCGGACTTCTGTCATCTGCTGTTGAACATTCCTCCAATCGTGACTCAATGAAGCCATCGATCCTTTGAGAAGCCCTTGATTGCCCGCGAGCCTGCCATCCGTATTTTGAGTCGTGGTGTAGGATCGCCGAATGCCGACTGCGTTTTCCTCGCTGGCGCGGAAGTCATGCAGGCGTATGATCGCCTCGTTGATCATGCTCTGATAGTGATGAATGTTCCTGTGCCATGGGCGGAGTTTTAGCTGAAGCTCTTCCGCCTTTTGAGGTTCCGCTACCCATGCTGGATTGTCGAATTGCCAATCAATCCCTGTCAGAGTGGCAGTCATGTACTTGAGCACCTTGAGCCACTCGGTGATAACCAACTTGTACATCGGAAAGGCGATGCATGCCTCGTGGCATCCTTTGCCAATGATGAGCGACATATCTTTCGACGATCGTCTCAGGCTCCAATACACTATATCATCAAACAAACAGGCTCCGTGCTCAAGTGTAGCTGTTGGGGGAGAGGGAAGCCTCTCACTTTTAATGGAAGCCGAATAGCTTGGGGGCTTTTCGAACGGACGATGGTCTCGCCAAAGTGGGAAGCCAGCAGTTACAGTTGGGTCGATTAGCAATATCGCTACACCAGTTAGCTAGATTATGCGACTTGTGATTGAGGTAGGCTCACCCGTGATTGCTTCCGACTCTGCCCGTGGCTTAACCCAAAGCGTAGTTCTAGAGCGTAGAAGTGTTACACTGGCTGGCGAGTTTCCCGGTCGAAGACGCTCACGACTCCTATCGCTATCAAGTCGACGAAGCACGTTCCACAAGCCTGTCTGACGCTCTGCCTTTTCAAACAATGCATCGCTTGAGAAGTAGAGTGGACGCAGGTATTGTATCGAAACGTAGTCCTCTTCTCTGGCATCAACAGCAAGTTCTGGAAGATCGGCCCACCGATCGGTGATTTGGTTGTAGAGGTAGTCGCCGGTATGCGATAGGAATGCAGACGGATCTATGTCATACTGACATCCCAGGACCTCTACAACATCCCGAGAGAGATCCTCTACCACAATCAGTCGAGCTTGGACGCTTTTCTCGGGTTCGCTCTGAACTACAGCAGCAAGATCTCGAGCATTGTGGAAATACCATTCATTATTTCCAGGTTGAACTGTGGAGCCAACGACCCGCAGGCTCTCCTCGTAGCTCAGATGATCTGCTTGTCCACTTTTCGGCCTGAGAATCTTTGGTACGAAAAGCCTGGTCTCCTTATCGTCCTCTTCCTCATCCTCGTGGGTAGTGCTTTTGTCCTTGCTCCCTTCCTCGACATAGTCAATGATGCAGACTTTGGTCTTTCTCGCGCGCCTTATCCTGTCTGCCTTGTTGTGTTGGATGTATTTCCATTTGGGCGGAGCGCAGGTCACTTCCATCCAGTGTGCGAAATACTCCAGATGAGGATAGCTTTTCGACAGCTTTTTGACATAATTCAAATACTTGTGCTCATCTGCCACGTACCCGTCCTTTTCGACCGACCACGCTGCAACACTGCTCGCGTTCGCAGGACTATAGACATCGCCAGTGATCTCTATAGCATTCCCTGCTTGGTCGGAATGAGGCTGAATCGTGACGGTACCTTGTTCCTCTTCTGTCAATACGCTGGATGTGTACGCGCTCGGCCATCTTTTCTCGCGGCCCGGGATGAGCTTTCTTCTTTGCTCCTGCTCTCTTTTTGATAATGTTTCTGGGGGTGGGGGTTCGTCGTCGACACGGGCAGTTCCTGAGGCTTGTGCAAGTTCGATATCGTTCCTCCGGTCAGCAGTGTTCCGTAGGGAGCGATCGAACATCCTTCAAGGACGTCACCCGCACACAGTAGAGGCCTGAAAGGAGTGGGCAAGAGACATTTGAGGCCAGCCTTCCGCCAGGCGCAGCTCCAGACATTAAGGTAGTACAGCCCCCAAATGATAAATGTACTCGAGCCGCCTGCATTATTGAGGCTGCAGATTGCAGATGGCGTGATGAGGGCGCTACGAGCTGAGGGCTGAGTCGCCTCTGCGCAGTGCCAAGTCACGCTCGTGTCTATAGTAGCCACTGCGGCTCAGTCCAAATCCGGAAATGCAGCTAAGGACCGGACTCGGTGTAGATTTGCTGGCGCTCCGTCCGCCTTAGTTATAAACGCGTTCTTGGTTGTTTTCCATGTTTATCTACCTCGCTATCGCCTCTTATTTATTAACCTTACTATTACTACTATTAATTTAGAATCCGCTACTCTTACTTTCTATTAAAATAGCTAACCTTATAAGTATTAATGCCCTTGCCGCCCTTTAGGAGTTTAATACTACGAATACTATACCGCCGCCGCTACTACTACTACTACTGCTGCGACTACGACTACTGCTACTACTACTACTACTACGACTACGACTACTACTACTACTACTACTACGACTACGACTACTACTACTACTACTACTACTACTACTACTACTACTACTACTACTACTACTACTACTACTACTACTACTACTACTACTACTACTACTACTACTACTACTACTACTACTACTAGCGGAATTTACGCGTCTTCTACTATAGGCGATAGTATATATTAAAGCAGACGAGTTATTAGATAAAGAGTAGCCCGCGGATAAGGAGAATAGCGGCGAGGCGCCTCGTAGGCGTAGATCTACGCGTAGAAGGCGCGTTAAAGTTATTTAAGGTATCTACGCTATACTCGACGCGCCTAACGACCTCCTACGCTAGCGCTAAGTAATAATTAAATTACTTACTAAGCTAATATTTACGATCGACGCGTAGTGCTAATTAATACTATTAGGGCTAAAGAGGCTATACGTAACTAGTATATAATTAGGCCGAGTAAAGCTAGGGTCTTAGTGCCTTAGGCAGGGCTTAGCGCTTAGCGTTAGGCTAACTAGCCTACCTTCCTTCTTCTCCTCCTAGTTCTCTATCGAATACTGCTTGTATCTGCTACTACCCTATCTGCCTACTAATATAACCTATATTATATAGCATTCGATCTACCCTTTAAGGGTAGCAGCTAGATAGTCCTTATTTTAAGCTTTTAGCAGTATAGCTACGAAAACCGATTTAACTATATTGCGCCCGAAGAACGAGACCTATACGTACTATTCTATTAAAAATAACCGTACTAGTTATTAAGCAAGGCCTTCTATACGGCCTATTATACTAAATTAATCGTACTAAGCCGATATCTACTAATTCCGCTATATCCGTATCTTAGGGGCCTATAATATATTATCGGTACTACCCCTTATTATAATAGCCGGCTTATTACAAAGCAATAACAACCGCGGCGCCGCTAGTAGCGCTAGCAACGATAACGCTAGTAGTATAGTGCCTACTAAAGTGCCTACTAAAGTGCCTCCTACTAAGGTACCTGCTAAAGAGCCTACTAGAGGGCCTACTAAAGAACCTATAATCGAAGGAGATAACCTATCGTTGCCCGTTAACGACATTCTTAGCAATATTGTTAACCGTCGATATAGCTAACTAGCCTTTAGGCCCTAGCTAGTAGCGAGACTTTAAGAAGCTACCTAAAACAGACTCGCTACCTTGCGTTAGGAACAATAGCTAAAGGATAATCTCCTCGAGATTCGCCGCCTATAGGAAGCCCTAATAACTACTACTAAACCGGAACTAGCAGTAGGACCTTTCGTATAGAAGAAGGATACGAAGCTTAAGGATTGCACTATATTTAACAGCTCTAGTCGAAAGCAGTATAACGACTATATTCGTAACTATAAACTTAACTAGCGCAACGTACTAAGAGCGCTACTAGACGACTACTCCCTAGTTATTTATACTATGCAATACATTAATAGTAACCTAAAGCGCACCTAGAATAACTATTTTAACTCCCTTAATAATTAGACCGCTATTCAGTAGCAAGACTATAAGACTATTATACTAAACACCCTTAGGAACCCTGTATTACGCTAGTAGTACGCCTAAGGCTAATGCCTACGTGCTAAACAAAAGGCCGACTAGACCTCCCGATCCTTCGAGGCCTATCTAAAGACCCTTAAGGACGATTTACTACCTAAGACCGACTCTATCTAGATATCTAAGATACGACCTAAACTAAGATAGGAATTAGTCCTTAAATTAGACCGCCGCCGTGTGTTTAAACAGGCTAATCTAATACGTATTTAGTTTATAGTCGAAGTAGAAACAGCTAAACGAGCTTTTTAGCTCTAATAACAGTTAGAATCTAAGATACGCCTAGCTACCTATCGTAGCCGCGGAGGAAACTAAGGTTCCTACTAGAACAATAATGCTAACAATAGGAATAGTAACAACGACTGTAGAAGGGGTCGTAGCCGACGGCTATATAGAGGAGGCCGCGATAGGGGCCGTAGAAGGGGCTCGTATCCCTATAATGCTAACCGCTCTACTAATAATAACAATAGCTACGGCAATCTACTAACCGGATTGAAGTACTTCAATTGTAATAGTGCTAGCTATTTGCTAGGCTAATGCGACAAACCTAAGGACTAGGCCCGAATCGACCGTGCTACTACTAAATACCGAAAGCACCTTTTAGCCGCTAACGCTACCCCTATCGGTCCTTCTAATTAGTCGAAAAAAGAATAAGCGCCGCACCAACTATTAGCCTTATACGGCGCAAAACCATTAATATTATGCTAGCTATTATACGCACCTATCTTATATAGGATACGTATAGCAATAATTATAGAACTAAGGTTATGCTAGACCTAGGAAATTTAGTTAGTACCTTTATTAGCTATCGCCTAGCTAAGCAATTAGACCTCCGACAATTGCCTAGAACTAATATACTAACCCTTGCTTAGTTTAATAACGCTCGGCACTTAACCTATAGGGCCTATTATATTCCTATAGTTCTAAAAGACGACCTCGGCAATAAACGCTTACTAGATTTCACTGCCTACGTAGTAGATATAGACAACCTTCTATCCGATATTGTTATTAGCAACCCTATTCTTAAACACTATACTATAGTTATAGACTTAGGCAGTTAATAGTAGCGATTTAGAATCGCTAGGAGAGAGGACATTAAACACATTAATATTAGCGAGTATCCCGACGATATCCGGGTCCTATTTATCGGCAACCTAACGCCTGCCTTAGCTAATCCGACGGCTAACCTTCTCGGTAGAGATAACGATAAACCTGTACCCCCTAATAGCATAGATCCTAATTAGCTTACTCGTATACTACTACCTATTCGAGAGACCTATATTAATGTATTTAAATACTACCTAGCATCGATATTGCCTATATTTAAAGAGACGGACTATAAGATTAATATAATAGAGGGCAAGGAGGTTCCTTTTAGTCCCCTCTACAACCTTAGTAAACGAGAGCTTGCTATATTGCGTAAGTACCTAGATAAAAATCTAGCTAATAGCCGGATACGATATAGCAACAGCCCTACTAGTATACCTATCCTGTTCGTACTAAAGAAGGATAGTAGCCTACGCCTATATATCGATTATCGTAGGCTTAATACTGTTACTATTAAGGACCGCTATCTACTTCCGCTTATTAACGAGACCCTCGATCGCCTTTCTAGTGCTTATTACTATACTATATTAGACATTAAGGACGCCTATTATCGCATCCGTATTCGTAAAGGCGATAAATAGAAGATAGCCTTTCGCACTCGTTATAGCTATTTTAAGTACCTAGTTATACTATTTAGGCTAGCAAACGCCCCTATAACATTCTAGTCCTATATTAATCGGGCTCTATTAGGCCTATTAGACTACCTCTATATAGTTTACCTAGACGATATCCTAGTTTACACCTATTTACCTAACATCGTAGAGCACTAGGCCGTAGTACGTAAGGTACTCGACCGCCTACGAGCCTATAGCCTATATTGCAAGCCTTCTAAATATACCTTTGCTACTAAGGAGGTAGCCTTCCTTAGCTTCTTCGTATTAACCGAGGGTATTAAGGCTAATCCTAATCGGATTAAGACTATTACTAAGTAGCTAATACCTACTAGTATTAAGGAGCTTTAGTTATTCCTCGGCTTCGCTAATTTCTATCGTCGCTTTATTAAGAGCTATTTACGGCATGTAATGCCTCTAACTGAACTTACTAAAACTAAGGCTAACCTAAATAGAGAGTTTAAATAGACTAATAGAGCACAAGCCGCTTTTAACGGTCTAAAGCAACGCTTTACTAAAGTCCCCTTACTGCACTATTTCGTACTAAGTAAACTAATTCGCATTAAGACTAACGCTTCGCAGTTTGCTGTTTCGGCTATTATGTCTTAGCAGTCTAACAAAGACTATTATTAGCATCCGATTGCCTTCTTCTCGAGAAAGATAATTAATACTAAGCGTCGCTATAAGACCTACAAGTAAGAGCTCTTAGCTATTATCGAGGCCTTTAAGCATTAGAGGCACTACCTCGATAGGGCCTAATATACGATATAGGTCTATATAGACTATAACAACCTCCGTAGTATTACTAAGGTTACTAGGGTTATAGGTCGATAGGCTAGATAGGCCGTCTACCTCGCTAGGTTTAATTTTAATATATTATATCGGCTAGGCGTAAGCAACCCTACTAATAGCCTATCGAGGCGACCTAATTACGATAGCGGGACTTAGCAATCTATTAATTCGTTGTTTCTAACCCTATAGTATAAGATTGCTATAGCCCGTATTATTAATAAGCAAGCGTAGGATAAGCGGCTTACCGGACTCCGCGACGGCTTAAAGTATATTAATGCTCTTGCTATATTAATAGTGCATATTAAGGCAAGGGCTAAGGATATAGATAGGAGAAGTTATAATAACTCCCTAGTCGATATCGCTATATATAGTA